AGGACAAATGGACAAAGGAAATGCCGGGATTTTATAATAAGATTCGCAAATTACAAATTGGGATTACACATGCCAAATATCGCCTCCTCTTTGCAGATCATAGCGCTTGGGCAATCGTTGGGCGCACCGGTTCTGGCTGCCTCCATGTTTGTCTGTGGTTTCACGTGCTTCCGTTGCTCGTGTTACAAATTGTACAGCGTTGCGAGGATGCAATTTGCATAACCCACTGCGTAAAATAATAAACACGTCATGCCGTGCTTGCGTAGTATGTCTGCGCTAACGTGTGCACAAAATTTTTCAAATTAAAACATATTAGGAGAACGGGAGTGAACTGAGGGCCGAACACGATGACCTACTTACAGTGCTGCACCCCCTAGCAAACAACAGCCATGGGCACCATCGTCTCATCACCGCCCATTCAAACACCACCTCCGATTACAGCCCCACGACTTGGCAACAGCATCTCGTGACCATGTCTTATAATCAACGTGACTCATCATCAAATTAGAGACGCTATGGTCCAGCTTAAATCTTATTTCAGGCCAAAGTTATTGACCCTCGATATAACCAGTGCCGCAGAGTGAACGTCAGACCATGTGCCAAACAACACACAGCGATACAGTAGAACCTGAAGACACACCTGTACGGCACAACCTCCATATCCTACGTGGGAGCAAAATGAGTAACATACATAGCTCTTTTGAGAGAGTCAATGGAGGTCATTGCAAATATAACGAGGCCAACCGATCAAATGGAGGCGAAGAGGTCGTGGATGATGCCACCAGACCACAGCCTTCCCTTCCTTCCTCCTGTCAGTTTGTGCGCAATTGGGCGGTGGTGTAATTCCAAAAAGCCGCGGGGTAATTTCTTGTTCCGTCAAGACGTACATCCATTAGTTTACAAAGTGACTTCACTGCAAGGAGACACTGCAGCATGTTGGCTCCAGCTACGATACACAAGTGTCAGTGGATCACTCTGTGATGGCACCTGTACTACGAGACACCTATCGGCAGGAAGGCAAGGCAGCACTTGCACGAGGCATGATAGCAAGTAGGTTCCTGATAGGTTCCATGTGTGGCGAACTGTGTGAGCGTTCTCTCTTGGAAGGCATGGGGTTTTCTCCGGTCACTCTAGTTTTCATCCACAGAACAAAGATATTCAGTAATCGATCGGCTAAAAAGGTAACAAAGGATGGCACTGATAAAATCTAGAATAAGTCTCAAAATTCAACAAAACATTCCTAGTAAAAACATAAACATTCTCCCACAAGTGTGCAACATTGTCCCTACTTGGTGGTGGCACAGGTGTAACTTTCTGACCCGCCCCTACTGAACATCTGTGAAAAAGAGCTTCAGAGCTAATCGGATTTCTCCAGGAAAATTAAAAGATTCTGATTCTGTTAAAGCACGTGTCTCAGAATCACAAGGTTGTGAGTTAAAACCTTGGTCATGGCCGGCAAACAGAAATGTGCATCACTCTGATGGGGGTCAGCAGTGGTTGCTCTGTCAGACTGGTCCCTGCCACAGAGATCTCGGATACAGGCAGAGGCAAGACTCACCGTGAGACTCGGGAGTCAACAAGCATTGTGGCCTTCAAGACGATGCAAGACTGAATGAGATGTCCTTAAAAACGTTAAATAAACAATAAAATCCACGTATTAACTTCTGGAATGCATTTAACCGTTTTTCAAATGAACCTGATGGCGCGATCCCGGGTCCCATAAGCCCCCGGCTCTCGCATAAACATTCTATTATAATGTAAACATTATATTATATATAATGTAAACATTATATTGTAATGTAAACATTATAATATATTATATAAACATTCTATTGTATTGTAAACATTATATTATATATAATGTAAACATATTGTAATGTAAACAAAAACTTTGCTCTTTTTCACCAATGGGTTCGAAGGATGGTGGCTGGCAAGTGTTGTCTTGTTAAACTTTGCCTTTAAAACTGAAAACTACTTACCTGGCAGTACCTCTATTTAAATACACTATCGAAAAAAGAATTTACACCCCTATGTCGATCATCGCGTTTCTCAGTGTGGATTTGTGAACACACTTTGTAAACAGTACATGAAATAGTACGCGTTTTCAATGCGCTGTTCATACTGTAACAAGCGTTTATACCAATGTTACTCTACAGAGTAGTGGGTCGCCGTTCCTCTTATCCGCATTGATACGAGCGGTATGTGGTGACGATGGCTTAACCGCAAATAAAAAAACCTATCTGCACAGATGCATACGGACAAGAGAAGTATTATCAAACAGGAGGAATTAAGGGTGCAATGCATCTCATCTGTTAAATATCTGCAGGTAATAGGATTGTCATCGATTGATCCTGGCTGCAGACATTGGTTGGTCACAAATAATAATGAAGATAAGAGAGCAGTTTCACTGTATTATGCATACCGTTATGACAAATAAAGGACTTAAGTCGTGTAGGCAGTTTGGGCAGCTTTGGATAAGACTTATGATCCTGCCCATACCCGAGCATGGAGTACATTCGCTTGTTCAGCTCTTCTGAGCATTCGTCCTCGCTGCTGTGCTTGGACATGACATGACAACACAATGATCCGTGCCAGGTGCGTCGCGGCGTTTATGTGCGCGGTGGGACGGAGTCGTCAAAAATTAAATTAATTAATTACGGGTTTTTTTTTACGTTTATTCGGGACCCCGGGGTCCCGCCCCAAGGTTCAAATGCCGATGACTCATTCATTGCAAATTCAGTGAATCCATTACCTCATGTCACTCACCACCCAACCTCACCCACCCAGACTATTTAAAGCATTTACAATGTCAAAAGCCACCCGAAACGTAGAAAAATTCTGGTCTTAAACAAGCATCTTGTTATTTTTAGCTCACCTCGTATTTTATACAGCGATGATGTAGGTTTGGGGATCGCTTTATCCAGCAGTCGATCGATCATGGCTGATGATGAATAATCCCACAGCGCTTATGTCAGTCTACTGCTGGAAATGACTGCCAACCCATGGCATGTCAGTCATAGGGGGTTATTTCCTACCACACTTTACCAGGCTAATTCTCTAGCAATTTGGAATATCCACCAATGGCTTGGGGTCATCATCGAGGTTAATTATGCCCATCCTGTGGCTCGTTAACGAAAAAAAATCCCTAAATCCGGGTCTCCATTCCTTCTTGCAGCCACAATAAATTAGTCACAACCACAGTTACATAATGGGCACTCAGGTACACAGCCAACTCTGTGTCTGTACATGTGAGTCTGTGTGTGGCCAGATAGAGGGAGCTAAACCAGCGTGGCACGAGCTAGAGGAGAAATGGGCTGTGACACGCGATGATGTGGAGCTGAGTGAACTTGCCGATGAATGGTACCAGCGGTGTCAAGATCGAGGCTCGTGAAGGACGCTGCTGCTACTGGGCAGTTGGAGGCAGCCCTCCAACCAACAGCGGAAGGCAGAGGAGGGACGCTCACAACAACGAGCAGAGTGCTGGGCGGATAAAATACACCAATTTGGCACAATATGGAGCACAGGTGGTGGACCTGCCGGCCGTCTCAGTAAGTCAACCCAAGGCACCTTGCTGGGTCTGTCTCGTGACCTCCTCCTGCCAGCAGCGAGCCTTCGACGCTTCACATGGCCTCAATGTGCACCTAGCCTGACACAGGCGCCGTGGTGCGGTCGCCGCCACTACATGTTGCTGTGTGTACACAAAGGTAAAGACAAAGATCCCCCGTATAGCCTTGACAGACTGTAGGGGCAAGTGCTGTTAGAGAGTAGCACCTATGAAGGCCGCAACGGTACACGAGGGGGTGGGTGGCCAGCACCACGCCCGACCGCCTTTGTCTCCCTAGTGCCGATGTTTACACACCGCACCTGGTATTAATTTGAGGCTGAGTCGATCTAGGGGCGGCCCAGGACCGGTTCAGATAATCGTCACCGGTGGTGTTGGCCGTGAGCGGGAATCGAACTCGGGTCGCCAGGTTTGTAGCGCAGCGCGCTAACCGCTACACCACCGCTCACCCATTTACACACAACAACAACAAACAACAGCAGAGGCCACATATCATATTTGCCCCGTGCACAGGTATAGGAGTTGTACACAATGCAGGTGACATCATGTTCGGTACACACGATCCCACGAGATGACCTCTTCGCTCCATCTCGGGCGCTTACGGTGACACAATAATATCCCTCATCTCCACGCTTCACACAGGAGGTGCGTAAGAGGCAACAACAACAACAACACTGTCAACAACAATACACCTCCGATTAGCGCGGATGGCTACGTACGGCGCGAAAGAAGTTCAACGTACTTAAACTAAAGTAAGCACGTTGCAGTGCATAGGCCGCACAATGTGTACCGTATGGCGTTACACATGTAGTCATAACCCTCTACAATACACACAGTACAATGAGCACAAGTACTGTAGTGTACACGGGTACTGCATCACAGTTAATAAGGCAACACACTGAAAACGCACGAGTAGTACACAGGATACTCAGGCCAGAGAAAGAGTACACACACACAACCTACTACAGACGTCTGCCCCCCCCCCATACAGCACACAGCTGAAAGGTTTTCCCACACATACACGGTACACATACACTACACACGTACACAAGCGTACTGCGTGCACAGCACAGATAGTCCAAACCCCATGCAGTACACACATACAATGCACAGTTTACACGTGTGTACTGTGTTACAGTACTGTGTCACAGTACGTACTGTATTAAGTATTAGAGTACACACGTGTACTGTGTTACAGTACACACGTGTACTGTGTTACAGTACACACGTGTACTGTATTAGAGTACACACGTGTACTGTATTAGAGTACACACGTGTACTGTAACACAGTACACACGTGTACTGTAATACGTGTACTGTATTACAGAGTACCGACAGTCCACATGTTACACCGCAGTACAGTACACACAATGGGGGGTGGGGGGCACCGCGTGGCCTCCTTCCCCTCCGCCGCCGCCGCCGTCTCCGAGTCTCTCACCGCTGTCGCGATGTCAGCTGAGCGTCATCGTCTCTCTCTCTCTCGGCGGCGGAGAAAGCTTCGTCCGTGGCCTCGTCTCCCGTCGCCTCGGCGAGTTCTACGAGAAGCAGGCGGCCAGAGAGAGAGGGAGGGGAGGGAGGAGGGAGGAGGGAGGGGAGGGGAGATGCCCGGGACCGCGTGACGGGGAAGAAGACTCTCGCAGCCACTCTCCCTCACACAGCACTGTACCACCGTGTCTCTCTCTCTCCCCACAGCACTGTGCCACCGTGTCTCTCTCTCCTCAGCTGCCTCACACAGCACTGTGCCACCGTGTCTCTCTCTCTCTCTCCCCACAGCACTGTACCACCGTGTCTCTCTCTCCTCAGCTGCCTCACACAGCACTGTGCCACCGTGTCTCTCTCTCAGCTCCCTCACACAGCACTGTACCACCGTGTCTCTCTCTCTCCCCTCAGCTGCCTCACACAGCACTGTACCGTGTCTCTCTCAGCTCTCTCACACAGCACTGTACCACCGTGTCTCTCTCAGCTCCCTCACACAGCACTGTACCGTGTCTCTCTCAGCTCTCTCACACAGCACTGTACCGTGTCTCTCTCTCCTCAGCTGCCTCACACAGCACTGTACCACCGTGTCTCTCTCTCTCAGCTCCCTCACAGCACTGTGCCACCGGGTCTCTCTCTCTCTCCCCTCAGCTGCCTCACACAGCACTGTACCGTGTCTCTCTCTCCCCTCAGCTCCCTCACACAGCACTGTACCGTGTCTCTCTCTCCCCTCAGCTCCCTCACACAGCACTGTACCACCGTGTCTCTCTCTCTCCCCTCAGCTCCCTCACACAGCACTGTGCCACCGTGTCTCTCTCTCTCCCCTCAGCTGACACACACAGCACTGTACCACCGTGTCTCTCTCCCCTCAGCTCCCTCACACACCACTGTACCACCGTGTCTCTCCCCTCAGCTCCCTCACACAGCACTGTACCACCGTGTCTCTCTCAGCTCCCTCACACAGCACTGTACCGTGTCTCTCTCAGCTCTCTCACACAGCACTGTACCGTGTCTCTCTCTCCTCAGCTGCCTCACACAGCACTGTACCACCGTGTCTCTCTCTCTCAGCTCCCTCACAGCACTGTGCCACCGTGTCTCTCTCTCTCTCCCCTCAGCTGCCTCACACAGCACTGTACCGTGTCTCTCTCTCCCCTCAGCTCCCTCACACAGCACTGTACCGTGTCTCTCTCTCCCCTCAGCTCCCTCACACAGCACTGTACCACCGTGTCTCTCTCTCTCCCCTCAGCTCCCTCACACAGCACTGTGCCACCGTGTCTCTCTCTCTCCCCTCAGCTGTCTCACACAGCACTGTACCACCGTGTCTCTCTCCCCTCAGCTCCCTCACACAGCACTGTACCACCGTGTCTCTCCCCTCAGCTCCCTCACACAGCACTGTACCACCGTGTCTCTCTCAGCTCCCTCACACAGCACTGTACCACCGTGTCTCTCTCAGCTCCCTCACACAGCACTGTACCGTGTCTCTCTCTCTCAGCTCTCTCACACAGCACTGTACCACCGTGTCTCTCTCTCAGCTCCCTCACATAGCACTGTACCACCGTGTCTCTCTCTCCCCTCAGCTCCCTCACACAGCACTGTACCTGTCTCAGCTCCCTCACACAGCACTGTACCACCGTGTCTCTCTCTCTCAGCTCTCTCACACAGCACTGTACCACCGTGTCTCTCTCAGCTCTCTCACACAGCACTGTACCACCGTGTCTCTCTCAGCTCCCTCACACAGCACTGTACCACCGTGTCTCTCTCTCAGCTCTCTCACACAGCACTGTACCACCGTGTCTCTCTCTCCCCTCAGCTCCCTCACACAGCACTGTACCTGTCTCTCTCAGCTCCCTCACACAGCACTGTACCACCGTGTCTCTCTCAGCTCTCTCACACAGCACTGTACCACCGTGTCTCTCTCTCAGCTCTCTCACACAGCACTGTACCACCGTGTCTCTCTCTCTCAGCTCCCTCACACAGCACTGTACCACCGTGTCTCTCTCTCAACTCCCTCACACAGCACTGTACCACCGTGTCTCTCCCCTCAGCTCCCTCACACAGCACTGTACCACCGTGTCTCTCTCAGCTCTCTCACACAGCACTGTACCACCGTGTCTCTCTCTCTCAGCTCCCTCACACAGCACTGTACCGTGTCTCTCTCTCTCAGCTCTCTCACACAGCACTGTACCACCGTGTCTCTCTCTCCCCTCAGCTCTCTCACACAGCACTGTACCACCGTGTCTCTCCCCTCAGCTCTCTCATACTGACATGGAAGTGACGTAGCTCCACCCCTCCCCTCAGCCCCCTCCCCTCAACCCCCCTCCCCGCAACCCCCCCCCCTCAACGCCCCCCTCCAACACCCCCCCGTCAACCCAACCTCACACCCCACCACCCTCCTCGATTCACAAATTCAATCCCCCGGCTCCCGATTCCCGAATTAACTTCCCGAATCGATCCTGTCGGCTGGGATTTCTCATTGCCTCGTCTGCTGCAATGCTGCGGAGTAATTCTCTCTCAGAAGACTGTGTGGCTGATGGAATGTGTAAAAATGTTTTTTTTATTTTTTTATGCGGAGAGACAGACATGGGAGAGAGTCGTCATATCTGCCTTAAAAATATATATAATAATGTGCCGTGTAGCTGATGGGATGTGTAATAAAACCATATAAGCCCTCACAGTTTCCTCAACTGGCTGGGAGAGCTGAGAGTAGCTGAAGGGCGCCTCCCAACGCCGAAAAGGCGATCCTGACTCTTTGGCTTCGAGTCTTTCATGAGAGAGGCAGGAAGGCAGAGGGGATCGGTGTTGGTACCTGTTTCGCCTTCATTAGGAATCATCAGAGCAGTGAAGCCATGCTGCCATGCCTGATGGCTGTTAAAACTAATTTGTGCCACCATTATCGGTACTTATCAGTATGCAATTTGTACTTGTATACCTAATTAAATGTTATATTATCTTCGCGATTTGCTAAACCTATTCTCTATATTGCACTCCTATCGGGTGGTTTTTTTTGGCATTGTTATAACTTTCTGACCCGCCCCTACTGGACATCTGTGAGAAAAGATCTTCATAGCTCATCGGATTTCTCCAGTCTAAAGATTCTGAATATGATCAGTCAACGTGAGTCACAGCCCTGTTGAATAAAACATTTAATCCCGAGTGTATATTTTGCTTAATCACGCGAGAAACTCGGTAGGGTATGAACAACAACACAAAACCCAAACCATTAGTCAATAACACTGTGGCACTGAATCGAAAGTATATAATAGGTGACGTTTTAGAGAACGGACCTTCGTCATAGGCCATAAATCGAGATGACAGAGTGGACTACAGTGAGGGAAAAAAATATGTGATCCCCCGCTGATTTTGTACGTTTGCCCACTGACAAAGAAACTATCAGTCTATAATTTTAATGTTAGGTTTATTTGAACAGTGAGAGACAGAATAACAACAACAAAATCCAGAAAAACGCACGTCAAAAATGTTATAAATTCATTTGCATTTTAATGAGGGAAATAAGTATTTGACCCCTCTGCAAAACATGACTTAGTACTTGGTGGCAAAATCCTTGTTGGCAATCACAGAGGTCAGACGTTTCTTGTAGTTGGCCACCAGGTTTGCACACATCTCAGGAGGGATTTTGTCCCACTCCACTTTGCAGATCTTCTCCAAGTCATTAAGGTTTTGAGGCTGACGTTTGGCAACTCGAACCTTCAGCTCCCTCCACAGATTTTCTATGGGATTAAGGTCTGGAGACTGGCTAGGCCACTCCAGGACCTTAATGTGCTTCTTCTTGAGCCACTCCTTTGTGGCCTTGGCCGTGTGTTTTGGGTCATTGTCATGCTGGAATACCCATCCACGACCCATTTTCAATGCCCTGGCTGAGGGAAGGAGGTTCTCACCCAAGATTTGACGGTACATGGCCCCGTCCATCGTCCCTTTGATGCGGCGAAGTTGTCCTGTCCCCTTAGCAGAAAAACACCCCCAAAGCATAATATTTCCACCTCCATGTTTGACGGTGGGGATAGTGTTCTTGGGGTCATAGGCAGCATTCCTCCTCCAAACACGGCGAGTTGAGTTGATGCCAAAGAGCTCCATTTTGGTCTCATCTGACCACAACACTTTCACCCAGTTGTCCTCTGAATCATTCAGATGTTCATTGGCAAACTTCAGACGGGCATGTATATGTGCTTTCTTGAGCAGGGGGACCTTGCGGGCGCTGCAGGATTTCAGTCCTTCACAGCATAGTGTGTTACCAATTGTTTTTTTGGTGACCATGGTCCCAGCTGCCTTGAGATCATTGACAAGATCCTCCCGTGTAGTTCTGGGCTGATTCCTCACCGTTCTCATGATCATTGCAACTCCATGAGGTGAGATCTTGCATGGAGCCCCAGGCCGAGGTAGATTGACAGTTCTTTTGTGTTTCTTCCATTTGCGAATAATCGCACCAACTGTTGTCACCTTCTCACCAAGCTGCTTGGCAATGGTCTTGTAGCCCATTCCAGCCTTGTGTAGGTCTACAATCTTGTCCCTGACATCCTTGGAGAGCTCTTTGGTCTTGGCCATGGTGGAGAGTTTGGAATCTGATTGATTGATTGCTTATGTGGACAGGTGTCTTTTATAGAGGTAACAAGCTGAGATTAGGAGCACTCCCTTTAAGAGTGTGCTCCTAATCACAGCTCGTTACTTGTATAAAAGACACCTGGGAGCCAGAAATCTTTCATATTGAGAGGGGGTCAAATACGTATTTCCCTCATTAAAATGCAAATCAATTTCTAACATTTTTGACATGCGTTTTTCTGGATTTTTTGTTGTTGTTATTCTGTCTCTCACTGTTCAAATAAACCTACCATTAAAATTATAGACTGATCATTTCTTTGTCAGTGGGCAAACGTACAAAATCAGCAGGGGATGAAATACTTGTTTCCCTCACTGTATAAGAGTCGGAGACTGCAAAAGTATGGGGCCTGATGAGAAATGCATTTTTTATGTTTCCTGATTAACAGTTTTTTTTAATTGTCATATACTAGAAACTCAAAACTACTTTTTATTTTATCAGGTAAGGCCCACTGAACGATATAGCTCTTTTTCAGTAGCGACCTGGCCACAAATGATAGCACAATGAAGTTGCTTATTACGTGGAAATGTATACCTGCTATTCTTCACATACGAACAGTTACCAAAAGAGCGTAATATTCTAACTTTCAAGAATGACTTGGGTCACCAAAATAGCAATTGCAATTCGATGGAAACAAGGACAAAATCGAAGCACATGTAAATCGGAGTAATACAACGAAGCCCTGTATACATTATGTACATTGAGCAAACAATAAATCAATATTCAAGAAAATATTTTTTTCTGTAGCGACAGTTGGCTCAGACAAATTACGTACAGTATTAAACACAAACTAATTAAAAGTAAAATTAAGCTACGGAAACATCAAAATGGATTTCGGGTGATTATTGCACTCGTGTGTAAACAGGCAAGGTTATATGTCAAATACAAAAAAAAACTAATTTGTTTAAATTGCGAGCCAAGTGTAAATGTTCCACTCTAGTTAAAACATTTCTGTTTAGAAATTCCATTCAGGAAACACGTGCCACTACTCAAGCGAATAATTTCAGAAGCTCTCTTATACTCTCACGACGTTTCGATTGCAACACAAGCAATCATCATTGCAATCATCATTGCTTGTGTTGCAATCGAAACGTTGTGATTTAATTTATTTTATTTTATACCCTACGTGACTTTACCGAAAGAACCAAAGAGCATGGATCACTGCAGTCACGAAAACTTCAACTCTAAGCTATCTTATCTGTGACCATCTTACCCACAAAGCCGATAATCTGCGGGAACTGAAGAGTCCGTGACAAATCATTATCCGTGCCCTAATCATCTGCGGTTTTGCCCCACTACTTTTCAGCACGGTTTTCCCGTGTCCCGCATGATCACGGAAGAGGGAAGACGAGTGGCAAATTAAACGCCTCTCATCGATTCTCTGTTCATGCCCTAAACACGTGGAATTCCATCGCTTCAAAGGTGTCATTGGTTACTCTCCAAATCTAAATGACAAATTGATGCTGAGCTGTAGATGTTTTATAATAGCTTTAACTTACCATTCAATTTGACATTTATCCTCGTATATTTACAAATTAGAACAATATGTCGCCCGACATTTGTTGAATGTTTCTATAACTTAATTTGTAATTGCGCCATGAGGAGTCAAATAGTAATCCGCCCTCGTTAACTTACGCTACTGGAAATGTATCACTTAGCATTGATTTATGTTTGTGTAATGTTTTCCATTCACCATGGGACACAGTTGTGTTTGCTCTGATTTATGCTTCATTGCTATTTACATTACTTTATATTACTCTTTGGTTCTTTCGGTAAAGTCACGTAGGTGAAAAAAATATAAAATAAATTAAATCACGACGTTTCGATTGCAACGCAAGCAATCATCATCAGGTGTGACAACCACAGAAAATAAAAATAAATAAATAAAATCACGACGTTTCGATTGCCACAGCAAGAACATTTTCTTGCTGTGGTTGTCACACCTGATGATGATCGCTTGCGTTGCAATCGAAACGTCGTGATTTGCTTTATTTATTTATTTTTCGCCTACGTTGTTTTTACCGAAAGAACCAAAGAGTATGGATCCTTGCAGTCACGAAAGCTTCAAATCTAAGATTACTTTATAGTTTTGGTTTTGTCATGTTGATGAACCCAGGTCAGGATTGTCACAATCCTGGTCTCAAAAGTTTTCATCTGTGGATAAGTAAAATAAACTGGACTATTTTACCGTGACTCTCTGCAATTGTGTATTTTTTTCTCTCCCCCAGCGGATAAGTGGAGTTAAAAACCCTGGGTAATAGGATTCTAGGTCACTGGGCCCGACATGACCGCGGATAAGTGGAGTTCTCCCACATGAGTAAACAAAGTATTTGGTGATACTGCGTTGGTTAGTGGTCCCCAAGAACAAATAACAACAACTAAACACATTCTCCCCCATAACACTGTCTTGATGAGCGATGACGAAGGCCCATTGCTCAAAACGTTGCCTATTATATATACTCTATAGTCTATACGGTATATTATTTAGGGGCCGTCCATAAATGACGTCACGTGATTTTGGACGATTTTGACCCCCCCCCCCCCCTTCGTCACACGACGTCACAAAAAGTCAGACCCCCCTCAAATATGACGTCACAAAGCTCTGTCCCCCCCACCCCCCCAAAATATATAAAACATGCTTCGAATCGCTTTAAACTATTGTCATTGTAGTGCGTATTTAATGTGGCGCTGCACTCTGATGTTGTAGGAGAAAACATTTATTAAAAAGTCTATTTAATTAAGTAGAACGTGTTGTTTATATTTATTTAAAGTTGCGCATTTTATGTGACGTCACATTTCTTAAACCCCCAACCCCCCTCGTCACACATCGTCACAAATGTCTGACCCCCCCCCACCCCCGCCATAGGTGCGTGACGTCATTTATGGACGGCCCCTTAAGGCAACACACACACACCGTGTTATTTACACTTGTGTTGAGTTTTGTATTATCTTGTGCCAGCATTTTTTTATGATTTTACTTTGAACATAAATAATTGTATTTAGTGGTGATACTCTATAAGATTTGGAGGGTTTGTCTGTTTACCCAATGGTTTACTTTTCGTCTAACTATCTCTCAAATGGCCACAGTCTCCAACTTTCATTATCCACTCCATCTCTTATCGACTCTCTCTCTCTCTCTTCTGGCCTCTCTCGACGTGCTTTGAAAAAGAGGAGGGCCATTGCCCGAAACGTCACCTATCATAACGGGTTATAAAGACAACTATGTCCCGTGTAGCCTTCACAGACCGTTGTGGCAAGTGCTGTTAGCGAGCACCTATGAAGGCCGGCACGGCACACGAGGGTGGTGGGTGACTAACACCACGCCCGGCCGTCTTTGTCTCCCCACTGAGACAAAGACAACCGCACACACACACACAGATGTTGCTGCTGCTGTTATTATTGTTATTGACCAATGAGTTAATCTTTTGATTTAAAGCTTTCGTGACTGCAGGGATTCATATTCTTGGTTCTTTCGGTAAATCACGTAGAAGGGAAACAATAAAATAATAATAATAGACTTTTTAATAATAAATGTTTTCTCCTACAACATCATATTCTTGGCTCTTTCGGTAAAGTCACGTAGAAGGGAAACAATAAAATATTATTTTATTACTTTATTGTATTATTTCCCTTCTACGTGACTTTACCGAAAGCACCAAGAATATGAATGAGTTAATCCTTCAGATTTATCCGGTGACGTTGACGGCGACGAGTGTGACGTCGGCGCGCCGGGCGCGACGTCACAACGCAGGGCGTGACGTCATCGCGCAGGTCGTGGGCTCAGCACGACGGCGGAGCGGTGCGCCTTGCATCATTGCACGTTCCACGAGCGCGCGTGATCATTGTTTGTCGCCGCTCCGCTGCTGTTAATATAAAACTAAAATAACGAAGCAATAACGACGACAAAACCAAAAAAACACGCACGCCATAGCGCGATATATGTAAAAAATAAATGCTATGATGTGCGCGTGGTTTCGTTAAGCAATTAGCATTGAGTTGGAGAGCGTTGCGGGCGACTGCTGCCGCGTTGAAGGGGAGCGAGGATCGAGGAGCAGGAGGAGGAGCAGCAGGAGGAGCAGGAGCAGCAGGAGGAGCAGCAGCAGGAGCAGCAGCAGGAGCAGCAGGAGGAGCAGCAGCAGGAGCAGCAGGAGGAGCAGCAGGAGCAGCAGGAGCAGCCTCGTTCTTGATTCCCCACGCGGAGCGCCGGGAGGAGACGAGATCACAGCGGGCACGACGAGAGGCTTGACCAACTGCAGCAGCGGCAGCATCATCATCAGCACCAGCAGCAGGGTTAATATGTGCATCAGCAGCATCAGCAGCAGTAGGGTTAATGCCAGCATCAGCAGGGTTAAAAGCATCGTCATCAGCAGCAGCAGCGGTGGCGGCGTTAATATCATCAGAAGCAGAGTTAATAATAATATTTCATCAACAGCAGCAGCAGTGATAGTATCATCAGCAAGAGGGTGAATATCGTTATCATCAGCAACGTGATTAATATCACCAGCAGCAGGTTTCAAATCATCAGCGGCAGTGTGAATATCAGCAGCAGCCCGAGTGTCATCATCAGCAGCGTGCTTAATATCAGCAGCAGCAGCGATAGCAGCAGGGTTCAAATCATCAGCGGCAGTGTTAATATCATAATGAGCGTTATATATCATTACGAGCGTAAATATCGTCATCAGCAGCAGCTGTCGTATCATCATCAGCATCAGCAACGTTCGTATCATCATTATTAGCAGTAGTGTTTGCATTACAATCAGCAGCAGCATTAGCAACAGCGTTTGCATCAAAATAATCGTCATCAGCAGCGTTATCAGCAACAGCATCAGCAGCGTTGGCAACAGCAGCAGCGTTGATGTCAACATCATCATCAGCATTTACATCAACAACAGCGTTACAGTGATCATGATCAACATAAGCAGCAGCAGCAGATTGAACATCATCAGCATCATCAATATAATTATTAACATCAGCAAATGTGAACATCAACATTAACGTTAACATCATCATCGTCTGCAGCACTATCATGAATATCGTAAACATTCATATCAACATGATCATCAACATAAGCAGTAACTGCATCATAACATTTACAGCAGCATCATCATCATTAGCAATATCGTCAGCAGCATCAGCAACGCCGCCATCAGCATAATCTACATGAAATAATTAAACATGATAAACACCATCAGCATAATCTACATGAAATAATTAAACATGATAAACACCATCAGAACAACAACGTACATATACATAACTTCATCATCACGATTTGCCATCAACGACAGTAACTTCAGCATCATTGAGGTTTCGATTTAAAGCTTTCGTGACAGCAAGGATTCATCTTCTTGGTTCTTTCTACGTGACTTTACCGAAATAGCCAAGAAGATCATTGAGGTTGTCTTCCTCGTCATACTATCTTCATCATAATCAGCAAAGTACAATATCAACTTAATTCAACATCATTGTCACTAATTACGTTATGAAGTGTAATAGAAAATTAATCCACAATGCAGTTAGTTATTCGGGGACTGCTGATGGTTTTGGCGTATTGCACAAGGACTTGATGCTTTTATACACGTATCTGTGCGTTGTTTTAAACTTCCAATGTTTTTTGCTTGACCTTTTTTTTTGCTCTGTTACGATGGGTCTACTCGTAATTTCCAGATTTGACAGAGGCAACGATACGTAGTCACGACTCTGTGTATACAGTGCAGGTGTGTATATGTATGTACCGTACGTATGCGTGTTTGTGTATTCATCTCCTGCGATTGGCTTGCCGATATTGTTGAGAAAACAATCCGGAGCCAGAGACCAGGTAAAGCGCCATGCAGAGATGACCTCCCAAACGTACCGCTAACAGAGGATGCCAATTATTTTGCGAGCTACCCTTCTGTGGCATAATTATAGGCGTTTGATCCGTAGGATGGGTTTTGAAGAATTGAAGAATGCCCTGGTGGTCCCACTCTTTAAGAATGATGGACGGCACAGATTGTAACAACTACCAGGGCATATTCCTTCTCAGTGTGCCGGCAAAGGTCCTGGCAAGGATTATTCAACATCGCCTTGTCAGGCTTGCGGAGCCCCGATGTCGTTTTAGACTGGGGTGGTCCTATGTTGTTTGTTGTCCGTCCCACCGCACCTCCAATTACCACGGTTGGCTACGTACTGTGCGAAAGAAGTTCAACATATGTACATACAGATGCAATATTCTCTGTCCGCCTGTTACACCAGAGGTGGAGGGATATTTGATGGGACCTAGATCTCTGCTTTATTAACTTAGTCAAGGCCTATGGTTCCATCAATAGGCCTAGGTTTTGGGTTGTTATTCGTGCTTTTAGGGGCCCTGACCCTCGGCTTGCAATTACTTTGGACCTTCACGGTTGTGGACAGGCCTAGGTAAAAATGTGTGGCCGGTAGTCGAAGCCATTTTCTCTTCGACAGGTATGTAATGTCCATGTAATTCGAGAATCTTTCCTTGGCAGTATCGGATAAATTTCCATCTGGTACAAATACAATAGGCGGATGCCTGGGTGCAATAAAGGGATGCCTCCCGATTGGTCAACTATGTTAGGTATGCTGATGCTCTGGTCATTGCTGCTCACTCTGATGAGATTTATGATCGACTGCTGAACCTGGAGCATGCTAATATAAAGTGGGGCCGTACTTCAAACCACACCAAAACGAAGCACCTGCCTGGATATTTTGTTATCAAACACTCCACCCCTAAACTCTCCGTGAGTGATGGGGCAGTTGTGAAGAAAGTAGAAGAGTTCCCATATCTGGCTAGTGTCCACATGACCAGCTCCGGTTTTTCGCAACGGAGGTCTCATTATGGAATCAATGGAGCGGCATCGTTTCATCCGCTGCGTAATGCTGTGTTGAAGCTACCTGGCCTATCGCGAGTTTGCTCGGCCAAAGTTATGTGTGCTTGTGAAACATGCTTCCGAAACGTGGACTCCTTTTTAATGAACATCTGCACCGGTTTGAAAGATTCAGGTTGGCCTGCATAAAATACATCCTGGTTTTAACTGCACTGGATTGTGTGATTATCACAGATCCTTGAACAATCTAGACCCGGGTCCCAGCGCCTATACGGCAGGCAAGGCTGCGTTGGCTGGGTCATGTAGCCCACATGCCCAACCACCGCATGCACAAGCAGCTTCAGTTTGGCCGGATAGAGGGGACTAAACGGGCCCGGCACATGCTAGAGATGAAAAGGACCGATGCGGCACAGAAGAATTCGGAGCTGAGTGGACTTGCCGATGACTGGTAACAGCGGTGTCAATATCGGCCTCTGTAGAGAATCATTTTGAAGCCCACACGTGGGTAGTTGGAGGCAGTCGCCTAACCAACCACAGCGGAGGGCAGATGAGTGACGCTCACAACAAAGAACAGAGCGCCGGGCGGCTAAACCCTCAGCAAGTTGGCACAGTAGGGGGGGGGGGGGACAGGTGGTGCATCTGCCAAGAATCTCAGGCAGTCGACTCATAAAGACCTGGAACTGCCAGGAGCGAGCCTTCGACACTTCATGTGGCCTCAAAGTGCACCTAGCCTGGCACAAGTGTCGTGGCTGTTGTTGTCATGGCTGTGCATGTACGTAGGGTATTTGTGTGGATGGATTTTTGTGTTTATGTACATGTGCATGGGTGTGATTGTATTCGTGTTTTCAGACGTGTATGTTCGTGTGCTTTTATGTGTCTACAGTATATGTATGCGCGTCTGTGTGTTTTATGTTACGTCTATATGTGCTTTTGTGTATTTATGTGAGTGTGTTTATAATGTATTACATGGGAAACGGTGGTGTAGTGGTTAGCGTGCTGCGCTACGACCCCGGCCACCTGGGTTCGATTCCTGCTCACGGCCAACACCACCGGTGACGATTACCTGAACCGGTCCTGGGCCTCCCCTAGGTCGACTCAGCCTCAAATCAATACCTGGTGCGGTGTGTGGTAAACATCGGCACTAGGGAGACAAAGGCGGTCGGGCGTGGTGCTGGCCACCCACCCCCTCACAGGTGCTCGCTAACAACACTTGCCCCAACAGTCTGTTCAAGGCTATACGGGGGGACCTTTGTCTTATAATTGGGGTTGTTATAAGCGACTAAACCGGTAACCGTTCACCATTATCGATGCACGGGCACGACAGGTCACGGGGGGCGCGTGCACCTCTTGCTTGGTCTGCGAGGTGACACACACAAGCGGCCTCATTGACTCTGACCAGGGCTAAAGGGGCAACATTTGCCGCCTCACACTGGTGGGAGCTCCACGATGGGCACCTGTGACGGCTCTTCGAACTTCTTTCAGCTACCGTGCGTAGCCTAAACCCGTGCTGATCGGAGTGTGCGGGGGGGAAGGACAGACAGCAAACTAGTTTTGGAAGTGGTGGGAGTACCTCTTGGAAGCGGTGACAGTACGCCAACACTTTAACCCTCACCCGCACAAATAACGACAGATGCGGATACCCGATGGGGCAAAAATGGAAATGTAATAAGTGTTCAGTCGTGTCGCGACTGTGGTCATCCAGGACAGACCGTGCAGCGTACAACGACGCAATGGCCGATCCACAAATACGAATGAGACATCAAAGCCAACACACTCCTGACGCGATTGTCTGGCTTTGACCACCTGAATGTGAAATTGTAGCTGATCAACTGCACCGACATCGACCACCACACTCAACCTGCCAATCCACACTAACCGCGGAGTTACCCCCATTATATTGCTGGGTGGTCAGGGCCGGTTGGTGGGTGGGGGGGGATGAATAAACTTTCCTCCAGTTGTTTCGAGTATCACGCCACGTCCAGTTTTGCTCACCGTTGTACGACAGCAGCTGACTCTGTTTTCTCGGTCACTTGGGTACACACGGTGTGTGTTCATTGCTCTAGACCAGTGGTTCTTAACCTTCACGGTAGCCTTGCACACCGTTGGGTCTCAACGATAAAGACATAGGTTACGTGTCCGTGCTTCGTTTGTCTTTCGATGATTTACCATGTCTCGCCACCCCCCCACCTCCCCCCCCCCAAAGAGACTGATTCGTGACAGTTATTTATTAAGGATGAACCGTTTCGTATTCACATTGCGTTACGACTCTTGATATCTTGATTTTTTTTTGTATCGAATTCGAAAAAATGCCTTTCCTTTTGCCGTTTTGGATTGTCGACCCTTGCTCTAGACATTCCTAAATGTGCGGCAAATCGGTAACCGGGTCTTGTTTGTAACCAGTATTTACCATTGGGTTACGGGTAATGCAGAAATGAATATCGATGTGAACAAACCTGGTTGATATATGTCTGTGTGTTTGTTTGTCTTTTATGTTGCTAAGGATTTAGCTGCGAAGAGTGGCCACGGGGCGATGGGCTGTATTGGCTCACGGAGGAGCATCGGTAAGGATTGCTCACCACACTCCACACACACAACACAAAACAAAGATAAAGATTCCCCGTATAGCCTTTAACAAACTGTTAGCGAGCTCCTATGAAGGCCAGCACGGCACACGAGGGGGTGGGTGGCCAGCACCACGCCCGTCTGTCTGCCTTTGTCTTCCGAGTGGCGATGTTTACACACCGCACCAGGTACTTATTTGAGACCGAGTCGATCTAGGGGAGGCCCAGGACCGCTTCAGATAATCGTCACGGGTGTGTCGGCCGTGAGCGGGAATCGAACTCTGCTCGCCGGGTTCGTAGCGCAGCGTAGCGCTAACCGCGACGCAGCACCCACGCACACGTACGTCACACAGATTGACACACACCCACACGCCAGCTGGCTCGGCGGGAGAGCAAGCGGTTCGCAGTTTGGAAGCGTGTGAGTTTAAACCCTGGTTGGGGGGGGGGGCGATGGGAGGGGGATGAGGGGGATTGGGGGGGGATGGGGGGGGCCATGGGGGATTGGGGGGGGTTAACTAAGCCCATAATATCTCCGGGGTCGATAAAATAGATACTACTTCGTTGGGAGGGTCAAAAGTCGTCCTGTGGATGGACTCACCTCTGCCATGTGAATGGTGAATTTCCACAACTGACTCTGGACTCACCTCTGCCATGTGAATGTTGAATTTCCACAACTGACTCTGGACTCACCTCTGCCATGTGCATGTTGAATTTCCACAACTGACTCTGGACTCACCTCTGCCATGTGAATGGTGAATTTCCACAAATGACTCTGGACTCACCTCTGCCATGTGAATGTTGAATTTCCACAACTGACTCAGGCCTGTAAACTGGAGATGAGCGCTGCCTCATTGACTGTTTGAGCAGGAGACCGCTCTGACTTTTGGCGATGCCACACACTCCACACACCCACAGATTATACACGTGCTGTACATTGTGCACACCCACGCAGCAATTATTTTTAAGAGACCACATTGCTGATGAAACCCTGAAAGTTGAGACCAGTCGAGAGTTTGCTTGCTTCGAACAAACGCCGCTGGATAACATTGGCCATAGACTCTGCATAGGATGATGGCCACAGAGACCCAGGGACTCTCTCGTCTGTATATAACTCGTAATCCACTCAAGGTGAATGATGACTGGTGATTGTTGATGTACACGCGCAGCCCTTTTAACAATCCACTGCTGGATGAGGTCCTCCCCTCTACGCTGTACGGGCCGTGGGGTGTTGTTCGACCATACTTCACCACGCTGCACAGTGCTTGTTTGGTGAATGTCCAACGATGTGGAGGCGTAGAGGTACAGTACAACAATAGATGTCGCAGCACACCCGCCTCTGCTGTTCGCCACGTGGCTACGCAGCGGCTGATGGCGACGTTGGTTCGTCGTGGACACCCGTCCAAGCACTTTCCAGGCTTAACGCCGGCTTAGCTTCCCAGATCTGATGAGATCGGACGCGTTCCCGGTGATTTGATCGCCAGGGTTGCTCGTGCGTTTGTTGTATTTTATAAGATTCATAGGAGCAGTTTTGTTACGTGTACTTTTTCACATTTAAACTATAGATTTTTGACCATTCACAAATGTCAAACCCCACCACATTGCTATTCATTGCAGGGGTTTTCTGTAATTATATTCTTACATTCACCATGCTCCATCATTCTCACAATACCCATTAGAGTAATTTCATCTGGTGCTTAGCAAGGATTTATGATGTTGTTATACGTTGTTGGTGGAGAGGAGAGGTGGCGCAGCAGTTAGCACGCTACGCTGTGAACCCCCGGGGCTTGAAGTTCAGTTCCTTAGCCACGGCTAACGTCAGTGGCCGAGTGACATTTGAACCTATCCTGCACCTTGCTCCCCCCATCACCAACCCGCACTAGACCAGCGTGGTGAAGTCTGATCATCCCCCACCACCCCCTCCCAATGACTGCTACGGCCTTAGGAGGCTTGGATCCAGCAGTGGATTTGCAGAAGGCTGTGATTTTTTTTATATCATGATGCGTCATTGGTGCTGATCTGGGTGGGAATGTGGAATTTCCACCACTGGTGGAGGGCTACCGACAGCAGAAAAGCACACACAGTGCAGGTTTGGTGCAGGGTGGGATGCATAAATATTCAGAAAATAACATTTTTATGAAGGGCATAAAGCTGCAGCAGTGTGCACTTTGTAATGCAGAAAGCTCTTTAAAGATTTAAACATTTATTACCGGTCTCGTTCAATTCCCCTGCGTAAGCATTGAGGCGAGGGGGGGGGGGGGTCTATACTCAAGCGTTTTCCCTGAAAGGGTTAAACAAAGAATTATGGAGCTGCGTGGGAGGGCAGTCGGCATGATTTAGCTCTGATTGTGCCTCATGTTACGTACACACAGCACGCACGCACGCACTTAGCACGCTCTATGCAATGCAAGCATCACCATCATGTGCCCTGATCTATCAAGCTGCTGTATGAAGGCCTGCCCAAATCACCCGTCGCTGTCTCTCGCAGTCCCGCGATGTAGCAACTCACTTAGCGCCTGCACTCGGTCACGTGGCTTTCCCTCCTCAACACCCCCCCCCCCCACACGAGTGAAATTTTCGTGCGAAATAATTCGAACGAAGCACGCATATAGCTGAAGTTCTTTGCCAATTCACTGTTGGATGAAGAAGGCCCCCTCCATGCCGTGTCGGTCATTGTTTGACTTTGACCGTACTTCACCATGCTGGTCAGTGCTGGTTGATGAAGACGGACGGGAATATGGAGGCGTTGGGGGGGGGGGCCACACAGTGGGGGTTTTGCCCCAGGCCGCCGCGCTGACGGCTCTGACTTCCGCCGACGTTGACCGTGGCCGGGTATCGAACTCGGGTGAGCCGGGCTCGTGGAACAGCGCGCCAACCACTGCGCCACCGTTCGGCGCTATGCATGCAGTGTACGCAGTATATTTAAACATTGGCACGTGCATGCCTACATACGTTACGAGATATGTCTGGTACGTGATGAGTCACCCTTCTTGCTGCCCACGGTTTGATTCATTTCACCCTCTTGATTTGTAAAGGAGACGGCAATCTCATTACGTTCTCTCTCGTTTGTGCATTGCTTGTTCATTCGCGCATCTCTCCCTCCCCATGTGGGTCCCTTTCGCGTCGTTTAACCTTGTCCTCCCGGCGTCCCGTCTCGATTGGTGCCGTCTCGTTCATAACCAGATCCGTCTCGTGTTCGTCATCGGTCTGCACGGTGTGTACGGTCTGTCCCATTCGCGCACTATGGTTCGCTTGTTTCAGTCTCGCTCGTCCTGCGTCATCAGTTGTTGTGTTCTCGTTGCACTGTCGTAGAGGGGAGCGTTTTTGCGCAACATTGTCGCGAGTCGACGTAACTGGCTTCCCGTTTCTTTTCAAACACCCGACGCTCGTCTTTAAGTCTCTTCATGGCCTTGACCCACCTCATCTTACCTCTCTGATCTCCTTCCATGTTTCCTCTCGTCCTCTTCGTTCCCAATCTTCTCTCTGTCTCTCTCAGTCTCTCTGTCCCACCTTAGCCCTGTGCCCAATCCCGTTTGCGGCACTTCTCCCTCCTGGCACCTCTCCACTCGAATCAGCACTGCCCATAGACTCAACAATGCCCATAGACTCAACACTGCACCATAGACTCAACACTGCCCATAGACTCAACACTGCACCATAGACTCAACACTACCCATAGACTCAACACTGCCCATAGACTCAACACTGCCCATAGACTCAACACTGGCCATAGACTCAACACTGCCCATAGACTCAACACTACCCATAGACTCAACACTGCTACCCATAGACTCAACACTGCCCATAGACTCAACACTGCCCATAGACTCAACACTTCCCATAGACTCAACACTGCCCATAGACTCAACACTACCCATAGACTCAACACTGCCCATAGACTCAGCACTGCCCATAGACTCAACACTGCCCATAGACTCAACACTGCCCATAGACTCAGCACTGCCCATAGACTCAACACTGCCCATAGACTCAACACTACCCATAGACTCAACACTGCCCATAAACTCAACACTGCACCATAGACTCAACACTGCCCATAGACTCAACACTGCCCATAGACTCAACAATGCCCATAGACTCAACACTGCCCATAGACTCAACACTGCCCATAGACTCAACACTACCCATAGACTCAACACTGCCCATAGACCCAACACTGCCCATAGACTCAACACTGCCCATAGACTCAACACTGCCCATAGACTCAACACTGCACCATAGACTCAACACTACCCATAGACTCAACACTGCACCATAGACTCAACACTGCCCATAGACTCAACACTGCCCATAGACTCAACACTGCCCATGGACTCAACACTGCCCATAGACTCAACACTGCCCATAGACTCAACACTGCCCATAGACTCAACACTACCCATAGACTCAACACTGCCCATAGACTCAGCACTGCCCATAGACTCAACACTGCCCATAGACTCAACACTGCCCATAGATTTAAAGCTTTCGTGACTGCAGGGATTCATATTCTTGGTTCTTTCGGTAAAGTCACGTAGAAGGGAAACAATAAAATAATAAAAAAATATTTACTAAGAATATACTGCCCATAGACTCAACACTGCCCATAGACCCAACACTGCCCATAGACTCAGCACTGCCCATAGTCTCAACACTGCACCATAGACTCAACACTGCCCATAGACCCAACACTGCCCATAGACTCAGCACTGCCCATAGTCTCAACACTGCACCATAGACTCAACACTGCCCACAGACTCAACACTGCCCACAGACTCAACACTGCACCGTAGTCTCAACACTGCCCATAGACTCAACACTGCCCATAGACCCAACACTACCCATAGACTCAACACTGCCCATAGACCCAACACTGCCCATAGACCCAACACTGCCCCTGTACATTAAGCAGTCCCCCTCCTTGACATCATTCCGTCCCTGTCTTAAAGCCTCACCTCGTTGCCGTCGCACATTCCTCTTCCCTCTCCCCTCCACTCCTTCCC